GGAGGAAATCGCCGGACTTCCGCCCTTTTCTGGGGATACTGGGCGGGGTATGTCAGAGTCGAACTGACTAAAACCTCCTGTCGCTCAACAACCAACGTCCAAACCTCGCATGAGACAGAACTCATGACAAGGCAAAGGGGGGAAAGTGAAGCGTTTAGTGCGGAGCACATCTCTCCCATCACCCTCCCCCTCGGGACGCCGGACTGGCGGTCGTCGGCGCCCCGACCACCAGCCCTCTCGGTCGGCAGACTGTCCGAAGCCCGCCTAGATGGCGCCGGTTAGAGTGGGTTATCCTACGGAATACCCCGCTGGGCCAGAACACACGCCGCCTCAAAGGAGATGGTGCGATAACCACGGATGACCCTGACCTGAAAATGAGAAAACTCAATGAGCAATCATATAAAAATGACAGATTCCAAATTCAAATGTAATATTTTGTTTATTTTTAATTGTAACAGTATTTATAGCCAGACTAAGTACATATGCAACAAGTAGGAGCGGAGAAATTTTACAGAATTGCTGGATTACCCCGGGTTCTTGGAACAATTGATTTGCATACAATTTCTATGTAAGTTCAAAGTAAAACTAACATCCTAATTAACTGATGTTAATTTCCATTAAATAAGTTTAAATCATTTTCATTTTACACATATTACAGGCCGCTTTGTTGGAGAAGAATTTAGGAATAGGAAAGGTTACTTCTCCTATAACATACAAGCTGCATGTGATGCTGATTTGAGACTAATAAATGTTGTAGCTCGCAGGCCAGGTTCTGCACATGATGCAACTATTTTCAACAATTCGGTTCTGATAGGTGAACTATTTTATAGTTTGTATAAACCACAATATCACTACTTTTTGCAGATGAATAATTTTATGCAATATTTTTTGCAGCTCAATGTGATGCAGTTCAGTTTGGTAACCATTGGTTACTTGGAAATAGTGCCTACCCCAACAGACCTTACTTGGTGACTCCTGTTTTGAATCCGGTGACAGAAGCTAAGCTGAGATACAATCAAGAAAATATAAAAACTAGGAACACCATTGAACGCTAAAAATAGAAGAATGGTTTTACATACATAGATCACTTTTTTATTCTTGGATCATAATCTATTCTTTTTTTGTACAGCGCATTTGGAGTCTGGAAACGTCGCTTCCCTGTGTTAGCAACACTCCGTTTGTCACAGCCAGTAATTCAGTAATTCAGTGATAATAGCCACTGCCGTATTACACAACATCTGCAGGAATCACAACCTTGAGGAAGTATCTCCAGAAGTTGAGATACTGGGTGGAGACAATAATGTTGAAGATGGCTCTCAAAATATGGATATGCAAGATATCAGTGGCAGAACAGATCTTATAATATTTTTTTTTAATTCAGAAGAGAACTAATTTATACTACTTTGTTTGTTTGTTTGTATTCAATAGGCTCCGAAACTACTGAACCGATTTTAAAAATTCTTGCACTATTTGGAAGTTACACTATCCGGGAGTGACATAGGCTATAATTTTTTTTTTTTAATTAGGGATCCTTACTAAAACTCCAATAATGTAACGCAAGGTTTAAAAAAATCCCTAATATATTCTTTACATCGCGTGTGCTTTGTTTGTTTGTATTGAATAGGCTCCGAAACTACTGAACTGATTTAATAAATTATTTCACTGTTTGGAAGCTACATATTCCCGAGTGACATAGGCTATATTCTTTTTTTTTAATTAGGGATCCTTACTAAAACTCCAATAATGTAACCCAAGGTGTAAAAACTTACCTAAAATATTCTTTACATCGCGTGTCCTGCGAAAACGATTGATCATAGAATAAAATTATGTACTACGGCTTTGTAGAACATATTATTATTTACAAAAAGTGTAGCGAGAGCATGTCTGACTATTATAGTAATGCCACAATAAGTGTTCATTTATTTTTAAAAATGTAAAACGACGTCAAATATCGTTTTTTATTATTTATCCACCTTGCGTCGTATTCCTCATTGCTGAGGGTCGTGACCATCCTTTTGAATCACCTTCGCACGCACGATCTTTCTCTATCTATTCTTGTCTCTGGGAGGGCTTTGTGAAACGTGGAATCAAGAGCGGTGCGGATCTGGTCGGACTAACGTATTGTGCTGCGCCCCATCTACCGAGGAGGTCTTTTCCCATCTACCTTACCAGTCACGATGAGCCTCTCGAGATTGCCACCATCCTTCTAATTTTAATTTTTCTATCTTTAAGTTTATTTTTTATTTTCTTATTTAATGCTATTGTTTATTAACTTATTTTGTAGCAAGTTGCTTTTAAATTTTTTTTCTTCTCTGAGTAATACTAAGCTATTGCAACATTCCTTGCTGATCTTCCTTCATCTCGATTCCTTTTTTTTGTACCTGGAATTAAATATGAATGTTTCTTGAGAATTGTTGTTCAACAATAGGTTTTTACATATATGGCCTCAAACTGTTTATTTTCAATTTGTTTTATAATGAGTATTAGTGAATACACATATGTACATATACCACTAAAACACATACATACTTTACAACATTAAAAATTATTAAATAAAAATAATTTTTACCTCTTCTAGGTGTAGTAAACGTGACATGGTGCGGATCGTCTGGAGCCACCACAACCTCACTATTGTCATTCAACTCACAATCCAACACAACAGATTTGGCCAAAGACACTGGTAGTGTTGAGTTATTTTTAGTTTCCACATTTAAAACCGTGGCATCTTCACAAGAGGAGTCAATATTAGCACAGTCACTACAACCAGCAATTAGAAGTTCTGGTTCCTTATCAGCCCCAAATTGCACTACAAATCCACTGACTGTGCTACCTAATAATGAACCCACTCTGTCCAGTATTTCGTCTGGAGGTATATATTCAGCAACACCACCACCAGTCTGGAAAACAAATTGAATATTGTTTAATCACCTATAAATGACATGTCTATTAAAGAACCAAGAAAACAGCAGTAAGTGATATAATGATTCAAACTAACCTTAATGCTATTCATCCTTATAGTATTGTATTTGCGACAGTTCTTCTTTAAATTTTCCCACTACAACTTTAGTTGTTGCAGTATACGACGACAAGTAGCAGTGTTTGCGTTAAATCGCTCCGCTATACAATGCCACTCTTTTTTTTTAAGCTGTTGTTGGTGGCGTTGGTCGTCTTGGTGGTTATTATTTTGCTATTCTCTATCAATTCTATCAACGCCTTCGTTTCATCTTTAAACAGAGGTTTGACCTTACCTAAAAGTGAAAAGGTTATTGTATTTTTTAACTACATTAAACAATGCGCGGGAAAGGACAATTCATCACTAGATTGTACTTTACATAGGTAATTTATGCCACAAAATTACTTACCACTTCAGAATCCATTTCAAAATGAAAATTAAACACAAGAAACACAGTACATACAAACTAACTTTTCGTATTTTTGTTTAAATGCCAATGGCTGTTCTCGTAACGTTCCGTTACTCACTGTACAAAGTTATTCGTCCATGGACGTCTGAACTAAGAAGCTATAACATTTTTAGACGTCAAATATGGTGTATTATAGTAGCAATTTTATAAATAATTAAATCCAAATAGTTATATAGAAAAAATTTAATGGTATATTTGGGACTTCAAATAAATGAACATACCATAATGAATATTAAAGTTCGGCGTAAGACGGAATGGTTAAGATGGAAAGGATCGTCGGCTATCCGTTGTTAAAAAAGGATTGCAGCTGTAGAGATTAGTTATTGGGACTCGGATCGAAGATAGATAGATAGATTGCTTTCAATCTCGGATTGCGGATATGTTATTGGTTTCGGGCGTTAGAGACAGGAGGCGTGTGCAGAAGCAAGAAAGGCCGGCAATGCAACAGCTCATGTTTTACGCAAACGGATACCACCAAAACGTACTGGAAAGACACATTGTTCCCAAGAAAGGTCACCCAAATTATAATTAATTTCTGCACAGAGTATTTATATATATATATATATATATACTATAGCAGATATTTCGCTAAGGCATTCAACAAATTCACATAAATTATAAAGCTCGTTTGTAGGCATATATACATTAAAAAAATAAGATAGACCGGTTCGCGACACATACTTTGATCGCGAAAATAATAAAAGTATTTGTTTAACAACCCCAAGCACTTCAGTTGGTAATAACCAGGTTTCTTGTATTGCTATTATATCCACCTGCTTACTCAGTTGCTGTATGAAACCCATAGATCTCTTTAGCCTCTTACATTTGAAACTCATAATTTTATGTGTCTTATGGTTATTTCTATCCATTTTGAGTTTCACTTGTTTTCAAATGGTTATTAAACTGTACAAACCTGCGGTATGATACTAGGGGTACAAGGGACACATGGATCTTACAAAACTTAACCCATATGTATTTAAAGTTCTTGCTTTTTGCCCATGCTTTCACTCTTGTGAGAAGTTGCTTCAAATCACGAGTTAGGTAGTCATTCACAAAGATACGATTAGAAATACCGATAAAACCAATGCCCTGAGGATCAAGAGATTTAAGTGCACGAGTATGGCGACAAAGTTTTTCTTCGTGTACCTTGTAACACATTAATAAATGATGCACAATTTTAATGCGACCCGTGAATCGGCGTGCACTGCATTGTAGTGATTCCAGGGGCCCGCGCTTGATATGCACATCTTAACATCCTTTGTCCCCGCTTGTATAAAAACGCGTGCTACCGTTGTAGCCGGTCATTCAGAAGCCGCGCTAAACAGTTGAAGATAAGGTCGAGTCCTTACGTAAATGATTAGCTATATACGAATGGTAACCATTCAAGTTAATTATTAGTGCCCGATTTATGATATCGGTAAGTCTTTAATTGTTCTTGTTCAATCTCTAAAGATTCTTGTAACTTACTATGGATAATTAATGCATTATAGAATTCCGATAGTCGCGTCCATCGCGACTTTATTTATTTGTTTGGATACGCTGCGGGGATCGTCCCGTAACGTCCCAGAAACAGGCTCTGTACCTATTACTTCTCAACTTATGCCAGGAGCTGGAATATCCCCGATGGTATACTTCTGAATCAACATAGTTTTAAGATACGTATCATTATTTGATTATTTAAAAAAATGTAATATTTCACCATCACCATCATACGATTACCCTCAATAATTTATGAATATAATATCCTGTCATTTAATCTAGACAAGTTGTATAAGTTTTTTTATAGTTGTTTTTTTTTTGTATGTAATAATAATAATAATAATAAATAATAAAAATCATTTATTGCCTTTCACATCTCAGAAAATAAAATGAAATACAAAAAAAAGAAAAGAAAAAAAAAAGAGAAAAAGGCAAAAGGAGGTGGCTCAGCTATTGCTGTTCGAGGTTGATAAATCGAACAGCGCTGATTTTCAGTCACCCCCGTTTCCCCTTGGTTCTTTGCGGGAATGAAGGCTAATTACGTGTGTACATACTTAGAATATGGTATAAATTAGTAAAACTAGTAAATTATAAAAATTTAAGAAAAAAACAAAACAAAAATCAAATTAAATTGTGAACCCGAATACATACATATATAACATAATAAGCACACAGTAACAACACCCCGTAGGCAGCCCACAACGAAACAACAAATAAAATAAAATAAAGCACGATAATACTATTACTAATACTGACAAGCAGCACAACATTTACACTTGTAGATAAAAAATAAATAAAAATAACTTTAATAAAAGGAGGTTTTCAAAAGCAAGGATAAAACTAGTTCCTATGTGTATGTGTGTGTGTGCTTTAGGGTAATATAAATATTTGTATGACTGCATTTCATTTTTATTTTTATGGCGCCCTGACGTATTTCTTTAAAAACTCATACTCTCCACTGCGGCTACCGGTTGGTGTAACGATTACCCTTACAAACTGTTGTGGAAGTTCAGTGTAATGAGTTTGTCAGCCGATCCAAATGTAGGTACCCTCGTCACATAGTTGATCTCAGCCATGGAAAAGAACACACCCAGCCTCTGGGAGATGTTCTCATAAATTGTAAAAAGGTTTTCGTTCTTCTTTACTGGAATGCCCTTAATATTATTGAGCCTAGCTCTCTGCTCCAAAGCATCGATCTCTCCTTGCATTTTCTGCATTGTTGATTCGAGACATTTAACAGACGACTGAGTAAGCTCAAGCAGTGGGAGTTTACTTTCAATCTCAATAAGTCTAGCATCATACTCAGGTACCTTTTCTATATTTTGAGTGACCGATTCACGCAGCAATGACAGTTCTTCACGTATATTTATTACTTCCTGATGCAGCACAGATAAACTATTAAGTTTCGTTTTGACGCCGCATGATTCAGCGTGGATCATTTCTAGCGTTACTAAGCCCTGAACTGGAGAGACTAGGCTGGCTCGAGAACAGCCGCTTGTGAAGGGTTTTTGGCAGAGCACTTCCTTGGGGTCCAGTTTTTTATATCCAGCTTCTGTAACATCGGCGCATGCGAAGTCAAAATGCTTCTTGCACGTACCGCACTTAACATCATCACTGAATTGCATCTTGCATAGATTACAATTCTTCATTGTCCGATAATTTATTTATTTATTTATTTATAACTTCTTATACTAGAAAGTATAAAGGCGGACTTAATGCCATAGGCATTCTCTAACAGTCTACCTTAGGGGAGTGCAGAGATGAAGCTTGGTAGGTGTAGTGTGAAGGGGATATTACTTAAACATTTTTTTTATTTTTTTTTTATTGCTTAGATGGATGGACGAGCTCACAGCCCACCTGATGTTAAGTGTTTACTGGAGCCCATAGACATCTACAACGTAAATGCGCCACCCACCTCGAGATATAAGTTCTAAGGTCTCAGTATATTTACAACGGCTACCCCACCCTTCGAACCGAAACGCATTACTGCTTCACGGCGGAAATAGGCGGGGTGGTGGTACCTACCCGCGCGGACTCCCAAGAGGTCCTACCACCAGTGATTACGCAAATTATAATTTTGCGGGTTTGATTTTTATTACACGATGTTATTCCTTCACCGTGGAAGTAAATCGTGAACATTTGTTGAGTACGTATTTCATTAGAAAAATTGGTACCCGCCTGCGGGATTCGAACACTGGTGCATCGCTTCATACGAATGCACCGGACGTCTTATCCTTTAGGCCACGACGACTTCTAAATATATATTATGTGTATATATAACATACATAATACATAGTACTTAAATAAATACATATACATAAATATATAGATATATATAAATATATACATATAAAAACATATATAAACAAATATTATCAATTAGATGAATAATAAATTAAAGGCGAGCAAATGTCAATTTCTGAGAAATGATCAACCCACTTCACAAAAACAACACGTTTTGCCTCGCTAAATATCTGTTTCGGTTTGCCGGGGTGAGGCCGCTACGTACACTGTAGCTACTTGGAGCCACTGGTGAGAGTTTTATATAGTTTATTGGATTGGTTTTTCGTCACGGCACCCATGTCCGACTGTAAAACTATTTACCAAGATAAACCCATAACACCCCATAAAAAATAAATTGGTTACGACAAAACAATATTTTTATATTTATTTATAATGATAAAACCGTCTTCCCTACTCGTAGAAGGTTCATCGTCTTAAGAACTTTCTTCGTCACTTTCTTCACTTATTTCGGAATCTCCTTCCTCTTCCCTCGATTCATTTTCGCTCACGTATATTTCGATCACGTGAATTGATGGTTAAGTCATCTATCACAACATCGCTCTTTTTATATTCCTCCTCAATGCGTATAATTTTGTCACATAACGAAGTCCATTCATGTTCACCCATTGCATTGACCTTCTACTTCGCAAGTTTCATGACATTTTTTTTTTTTTAAACAACGTAGCCCTTTTATTACTGCCCAAACCAATTTCGATTGGGTTAGGATTGGGGTAAGGTGGAAGGCGCAAAATTGTGTCGATGTTATATTTTTTACATTTCTCTTTATGTAGTGTAACTAATTTGTACGGCTTAAATATGTTTTTTTTATTTTTTATTGCTTAGATGGGTGGACGAACTCCCAGCCCACCTGGTGTTAAGTGGTTACTGGAGCCCATAGACATCTACAACGTAAATGCGCCACCCATCCTGAGATATAAGTTCTAAGATCTCAAGTATAATTACAACGGCTGCCCTACCCTTCAATCCGAAACGCACTACTGCTTCACGGCAGAAATAGGTAGGGTGGTGGTAATTGGATCTTCAAGGTATATCTTTCTTCATAAGCCATGAAATAATTTCTGATTTCTTACTATTTGATGTCGGCGCTGCGTCCTCTAACTTATTATGGTAGGGCGCATTATCTATTACCACAACTGAATTTGGTGGGAGATTTGGCATTAATTATGTGCGAATTGACATAGTATGCGACGAATCGACATCGACTGTATAAATTAGTAAATAAATAAAAATAACACCTTGATCAAAGTTGTTGATTCCGATCAAACTTTTTTTCCCCGGCCTTTTCTTTCCGGGTGTACGAAAACTGTTATCGAGCTGGGGTCATTTGCAGCCGTTGCAATTTGTTTCACCG